CGCCACCGCCGCACCCACACGGGCGAGAAGCGCTTCGCCTGCCCCCTGTGCGACAGCCGCTTCATGCGGAGCGACCACCTCACCAAGCACGCCCGCCGCCACCTGGCCAGCCGGAAGCTGCCCGGCTGGCAGGTTGAGGTTGGCCAGCTGAAGGACTTCGCCGCAGCTCCGGTCCCCCGGTCCACCCCCTGAGGCACCGCGGTGGGGGATTTCCTCAGAACAGGAGCGCCTGCTGCGCTGTTTCCAGACATACTAGGGGCCGGGGTCTGCTGTGCTTGGAGAACATGGAGATTATAGCTCTTTACTGCTGGGCCTCTTTGCACTGGGCTCAGTTGTGTGTTTTTTTGTTAAACTGTGCATTTAACAGGTCTGTTGATAAAAGCAGGCTAGCCATCAAGGTAGAAACACGAATCCGGGCCGCCCTATGGCGTGTCTCGGCTGGTCGGAGCACCGACTGGATCTTGCCCGTTCAAAGGTCAGCAGGGAGAGGTGGGCTCTTGCACCTCGGCGATGCAAGCAGCTGTACTGCACCAGACGCCCGGGGTGTGACGGTGACCTGCCTTGTCTGTGACTCCTGTAAACTTCCTCCGCGGGGAGGCCAGTGCCCAGAGCTGCTGCGGTGAAGGTCTGGAAGAGAGGGCAGCCCCGTGCCCTGTGTTCTTCCGGATTGCCCTGCCTCCCACCTGCAGAGAGAGAGATGGACAGAGGCAGAACGCCAAACCACCCAGCATTCACTGGCGTGGGTGTCCGAGTATGAGCCTGCTGAGGAGTGGAAACAGGTCCAGATGAGACCAGAACGTGCCCTATATGCACAGTGAAGATAGGGGCTATTTGAAGAGGATTTTACACTCTTCTTCTAGAGACGGGAGTATACTGTATAGCGTTTTTCCTCAATTCAGAATGATTTTTTGCACCTTCCTTTCTGTCTTGTTATTTATTTTTGTCTGGTATCTTTGTAAGATTAGTTGTAGTGGAAGTCTGTTCAAAGGAAAAGAGAGTATTTGCAATTTTGCGACCATTTTTATTTAAGCTGTATTTATTGTCAGTCCTTTCAGCCTTGTCTGGCGTTGCTGTAACCATTCAAAGTAAACAGTAGATAGTCTAGATAAGGTTCCCTACTGGGTCTGCACTATTCTTTTTTTGTGTTGTTGCTTATCCTAAAGAAATGTGTTGGAAATGTAAGACATATTCTGTGGTTTCATATTCTCAGTGGAGTAGCTTTTGAAATTTCTTTTGGATACAAACACATGAGAGGATTGAGCACAACATTTTTGTTATGTTAATCGTTGTGGTGTGACCAAAGGAGTGCCTAAGAAAGCCAACAGTGTTTCACCTTGAAGACGAGAGATATACTGTATTTGGCAATTATTTTTTTTTACTCCTACGCATTTTGCACAATGTTTGTCTTTTCACATATTGTTTACAAAATTAATAAAGGCATTTTATAATTAACAGAAATTTGGTTTCTTTTGAATTGATAGGGAATGTCACAAGATTTAATTTGAAACGATGATAGGAATGAAAAAATTAGCCTCAGTAGTCACTCAACAAATAAGTGAATGATTACATTGTTTGCAGTCTGTATTTGTATCTGATGGGTTCTAATTAGGGCAGCATGGTGGTGCAGTGGTTAGCATTGTTGAAATAATTGCAGAAAAATTGATTTAGTAAAACAGAGATTGAGACAGTTGCATAATATAAGCTTTAAATGTCTATCAAATTAAACAAGACTTAACTCATCCAGAACCCTACTGACTACTAGGTTCTTACATAAAGGCACAAAAAGTAAAAGCTTTCAAGCACGTAGCCCTGTGGAACACCCTGGGGAGAGGTAAGTGGAGTGAGAGCCAAGATCAACAAGTCACGAAGTCAAACAGGAGCCAGACCAGCCAGTACAGCGCGGTCATGTGTCAGAAGACTTCAGTAGTCGAATCCACGAGGCAGCGAGCAGGCCGAGTTTCGCATGGACCAGCGCCAACACACAAGACCAAGAGGGTCCCACAGAGGGAGAGTGGTGGGACTGGCTGATGGGGGACTCATGCCCACCTGTGTCTGGACGTCAGTAACTGGCCACCATATTACTCAGACCAAAATAAGTCCACAACTGCCTCCTAAGTGCGTGCAAGGCAGAATGGACAGAGTTGTGTTTCTGCGTAATTTCTTTGCAACCATGCACCTGCACAGAGATCTTCTGAAACCAAAGACTGAGTTCAGAATGAGTTTAAAATGAGCTTCTGTCTCATTAAGAACAAACAACAAGCTCAGTGAAAGAGATCAGTAAGCCCGTGTAATTAAGGGCTCGTCTGGAAACCAGAAAATACAGGGGCCAAACACTACATGTTTTTGATAACCAGTGACTTTACCCAAATGCTAATATCAACTGATATACATACAACATGATTAGGTTTGGTTAATTCTTGATATGTTTTCTTGGAAGTGGTTTCAGTCCACGCTGGGATTGTGTTACTTATACTGAGCAAGTGTATCTTGCGTTGAACACCGTGACAGTCTCTTAAGTAGCTTTGCAAATCTGTTATCCTTACAGCAACTCTAGATGGTGGCACTGGGCTTCTCTAAAGATGTATACTTGGTTAAAAAGGAAGCAGAAATGTGCACTCTAAAGAACCTGTTAAAAAAAAAAGTCTGAATTCAAATAACCGGGCTAGGCATTATTGAGATGTCTACTATGCATGCTCTGCACAAAGTCACTGCCTTGAAAAAGTTGCAGGATGTTTCCTTGTCAGCGCCCACTCTCGTAGTGTTAAAGCTGATTGGCACGGCATTCCGAACGGTTGCTTTTGGATTACACTGTTCAAGGACGAATACACAAGCTGTACAGCTGCACTGAAGGCTGAAATTCACAGTGAACACTATCATTGCTGAAATCTATTTCTGTGTTTTTATCTATCTTATTTTCAAATTATATTTTTATTTCAGATTTAAGCCCCATGTGCCTACAGACGGCTGTCGGGTGAATTGCATTGCCAAATTTAAAACCACTCGGGAATAGCACTGCTAAGTCCATTAAAATGACCAAATTGGGGATGAATCTCGACAGGCACCGTTCTTGAGAAGGTTCCTGCTCTGACTTGTTTTTTTTATTTTGAGAAGTTACGTCTAAGAGCAAGAAGACTGGACAGTCAGTATGGATTACATGTGGACAACTAAAGCTCATATCAGTTGCTTTTTCATCTCTAGTCTCCTGACGCTTTCATTGAATGGGTCTGCAATCATTATATTTATTCATGTTCTGAAAGTCCATACATCTGCTTTCTGCTTCATGTATCCCACATGAACACAGGAAGAATGCACAAACTCCACACAGAGAGCACTCCAGGACCAGACTTGAATCCAGTGCCCCAACACTTCAAGGCAGCAATGCTAACCACAGCGTCACTGAGCCACCCGTTGTGAGAGTCGTTATTGGGATCCTTTTATCATTTCACATTTCAATGGCCTGGATGGCCCGGCGTCAGAGCTCTTCCTGTGGCCAGTCAGGGGGAGACAGCCCTCCTTGTTCTGTGTGCAGGGGAGGTGTGCAAGCCCACACTGCAGTCTGATGGCTCGTCGGGCGAGAGCTCATCCCAGCGTTCCCAGCATGAAGTGGCCTGAGGGTACGAGACTCCTCCAGAATGGGTCATAGCAGGGTTCGGCACCTCCAGTGACCAACACTTAATGGCTCTACGCCACTGCCGTTTCACTTTGTCACCTTGGTCTTGTGTGTTGGCGCTGTTCCATGCGAAACTTTCTGTAAGTAAGAACCTAGTAGATAGTCTGGAATAGTAAAGTCTTGTTTAACTATCTGGTTAGACATCTAAAGCTTTAAATGTGTAATGGTCTTACAAAGTCAATTTTTCATTCATTGAATTGAATTCCTTTTTGCTTCTGTTGTGAGTGATATTGTACAACACTTAGGAGTTTCTCCAACTGTGTTAAAATTATAATCGATAATCCATCCCACTTTCGAGGAAAAGAATCCCACTCAGGGATGAGACTGAAGTTCGACTGAGGCGATTCTCAACAACCAAAGCATGTTCATGAATTTAGTTATGGCCAAATGTAGTACTGGTTACTGCTGTCGTATTGAATTCTTCTTGTTCTGAGTCATTTTAAAACAAGACATCACAAGTATGATTGCGTCAGTGTTCCTTTTGGTGAAAAGAATCTTTTGATCAAGCATTAAATGCATTTACTTCTACTCAAGATGTTTCAGGCCAGTTTCCAAGTTCAAAAATCAAAATTGTTCTATGTCTCACTTTCATATCCTGTTCAGCTGTTTCCCCACTGTACATATGTCTCTGTGACTTTCCAGAAAACCTGTTATTGTAAAGTCTATGGAACGTGGACATTTTAGAGTACATGACTTTTTGTTATTGTTCTTTAATCTCTGCATTTCAGCAATCTTTCACAACAGGAAATATCTGCCAACTGCAATCCACAGCATTAAACAAATCATATTTTTATTAGCCATTTTCATGGCAAAGACAACCATACCACCTGTATGCATTCAACATTTGTCCCCAGCTTGAAACAAAACTGGGTGAAAGTTCTTTTCTGTCCTGTGGTCTTCTCTGTGTCCCTAGTGGGGTCAGTGAATTGTGCAGATAAGTGTTCTTCACAGCTTTCCTGAACAAGTTCGCAACACCTGCCTGGTGACATCATTGTGAATGACTGCATCCCTTTTCACCGGGCAGAACAATCAGCCAGAGACGCCCCTTGACACAGAAAGCAAAGGTCAAAAATGCAGTCACATACCGCATGTCCCTGTGTAGTCCAATTCCACTAAGCATATCAGCTGACAGGGAAGGCCTGCTGAGCCCAGAGGCTCCGGTTAAAAAACAGCCACGTATTATCCCTGTGACAGACTGGAGCTGGAGGCAGGCAGTGAATCCAGTCAGCCCTCTTCTGTATGTGCGAAGCTGCAGTTTGCGTGGCAGACAGCACTCATGAAACTGCAGCAGGTCACAGCTTGGCTTCTGGGGGCTTGGCTACGCCGTCCGTTCCAACAGGAAATCGTGTCTGGAGTTCGCCTTTCCAGAACTGAAGGCAATAACCATAGCTATTTGTGTTGTTTTTTGGCTCGTCCGAATCTCTTTAAACGCATTCAGTAGTGTTTCAAATTTGCAAGACTGCTTTTCCTCACAAGACAGGCTTGCGAGCTGCTCCCCACAAAACCGTCAGGGATATGATGCACGTTCATCTTCACAAACGAAAGCAGCGGTTCCAGGAGTTCTCTGTAATCAGAGGGATCATCCCTTAAGTGTCATTGGGCCTGCTTTTAATCTCTCAGTGCCCTTCTCCTGATGCACCAGTACACTGATATCGTGAGACGCGAATGCTCTGTTTGTCAAAACATCACCAGCAGTCTGTGTTCTGAAACAGAAATCCAGGGAAAGATGAATAAAATAAGCCCTTGCAGCCCTTGTCTTGAGGTGTTCTGATAGCAAGAAAAAAGCCAGAAAACAAATCTTATATATTGAGCGTCAAAAGAATCTTCGCCCTGTTAGGGTGTATGTTTTTTTAGAAACCATACAGATATTGGGTCGTGATTAAATGTGTTTGGCAGAGCACCCCCGAGGAAACTCACACGAACATGGAGAAAACCTACAAACTCCACACAGATAGCACCCCCAGGAATCAAATCCAGGTCTCCAAAGCCGAGGTAGTGCTGTCCTGCCTGTAAATTTAAAACTTAAATGTGATAGCACATGTGACAGTGCTATCCCTCGGCCTATTGTAACCACACATTCCATGACACACGCTACCCTTGTCACATGACTTTTTGACTTTTGTTAGTGTCCTGGTGCTGGACTGCAGCTTTTATTTTCACTTACTGTTTTCCCAGAGCTGCTGCTTTCTCTAAGCCCCGTGTTCCCTTCCAAGATCGGAACAGTTGGTTCCATTTTCAGGCGTAGAGCCATCCTTTTACACCTCTCAGCCATTTTCTTCCTCTCGCACCAAGCAAAACTCCTCACACTCTCAATCGGTTTTACACCTTTGGCTTTTCCCTGGAATACCTCACGCTGAGCCAGACACTGACGCCCAGCTGTCTCTCTCTCTCGCTTTCCCTCTCAAAGTACCTCCCTCCCTCTGTCTGTCTGCCTGCAGCTTCTCTTCATCACGAGCTGTTGCGAAGGTGCACTGCCTCTCTCCTCCAGCGCTGGTGCCTGCTGTTGGCCAGTTTCCACCTTGCTCTAGTCCAGGCTCAGACTAGATGTCTCTCCCTGGATTGCTCTCTTATCTATCATTGCTGGCAGGCTCAGTTTCCTCGTGGAACGCCCCACTCTCGCTCATCCCCAGGGTGTGTGCTTGGAGTCCTGACTCCTCACACCCATCTCATCTTGTCTTAAGCCCACATCCTGGCCCACAGACACCTTCTCTCACTCCACTGCACCACCTTGATTAATTCTCTATTCATGACCGTCCCTCCTACACTTGAGCTGAAGCACTAAATCCCCTCATTAGTGAGAGGGGTGTTGAGGTGAGCAGTCTTAAACTGCTCCCTGGGGGATGAACACATTTGAATTGAATATTTTGAACTGAATTGACTGTCAAGCCTGATAAAAATCAAGAAAAACACACAAAGGAAGCCCTATGCCTCATAAAGAACAGCGGTTTCATGTTATTGGCACGCTTGAGGCTGGACTAAGGCAGCGTGCCGTTGCCTGCCGCCTTCAATGTTCATAGCTAACAATTTCCAACCTGACAAGTAGAGTCCAGCATCTGTTTCTTGGAGACCACAAGGCACCACACCTCTCCGGGATTCAAAGGGAGGTCCTGGTGTGTTGGTGTGGGTGGGAGTGTCTCGTTGCTACACAACGCCAGAAGATGACGTTGCAGAGACACACCACAGTGGTGTTGATGTGAAGACCGGTAGGGGTCAGGTGGGGACCCAGGCCAGCTGCTGTTCTCAGACGAGCTGCCTTGTGATCCCTTCTGCTGGAAGAACCTGGTGTTGTGGTGGGGGTTTGAGCATTATTTCAGGTCAAAAAAGGCTACATCATGTTACAGTAACTGAAAGCCAGCTCACACCCCAGATTCATGCCGGCAATCTCTGGCCAAAGGAGCCCCAACCTGATCTCCAAATAGCTTTGTTTAACAACTGAGCCACTCGAAAGCCTCAAGCCATGTGTGTGGAATTTCAAGTCACATGGCCCATCTTGAGAACGTGGGAATGGGTAGTGTGACTAGTGGTCACATGGCTTAACAGAGTTGCTGTATGAAGTTGTCCCCATACTGAGCCCCTTACAGTTCAGGACAGTCTATAAAAAAACCCAAGACTGGAATCTCCAGTTTTTTTTATAAATCTGCCTACATCTCGGGAAAGATGGTAGAGCAGATAATACTTCAATAAAGATGCATTGAGAGAATCCTTAATTGTTGGTGTGTGGTGTGGTGGATTGAGGGTTAAGGGGAAATTGGGCAGAATTGTTAATGTGGCTAATAAAATAATTGGCCGACCACAGGAACAGCCTAAAGAGCTGTATTATACTGCAGTTCAAAGGAAAGCTCAGCTTCTCCATGGTGACCCCTCCCATTTTCAAGTGCTAACTTCAGAGTAGTGTTTTAAAATAAGACTTTAGTGATCCCGAAGGGAAATGGCTTATGTTAAAATGCCAATGGTGAAGAAAAATATATTCAAGAAATATTTTCTTTCCTGCACAGTTGGTGTATTAAACACAGTTAGGTGACTGTTTTCCAGATGAAGCTATCGGATTGGTGTAAAGATAGTGTAATATGGTCCAAGTGAGATGGGTGAATAAGTATTGTTGATTTTTAAGTTGGACTCATTTTATGTCGAGAGTTATTCGTTTTGTTTTTGTAGTTTTGTAAGATGATGCCAAAGACAACGTTTCACCCATTTGGATGGACAATCAAGTTGTTTAGAAAATAGAGCTGAAATCGTTCTTAGCAGATAAGCACCATCGGTTCGCAGAAGACAAACGTGAGTTCTCCTCTTTATCCCAGACAAAGGGAAGGTAAGGTCAATGTACATTTTTGTATCTTGTTTTGTAGTTAAATCAGCATGGGCTTCTGTATTGCTGAACCAGTAGCACCTCTGGGGAGGGGGCAATTATTTCTGCCCCTGAAGGCAGATTCTTACACTACACCGGCACCCTCACCAGTAAAGCACTTTGAGTGGAGTGTCCAGAAAAGAGCTATATAAGCATAATGATATACTGTATAATAATAGTTATTAGTGCTGCACATTTCCAATAAACCTTTATACAGGGAAATGAGACAGCAACATACTTTTTCAGGAGTGGTTCTTGAACACTAAATTTAAAAAAAATCGAATGCCCTAAGGCCCATTAACACAATTGCACTTTTAGTTACATGAACATGTAGAACTGCTGACCCCAGCTTGCCGCTGGCCCAGAGGCTTCTTGTAGCTTCCCAAGTAATAGTAATATTTCTTCAGGCTTTCCTGCTCTCAGGGATTAACCCAAGGATCAGTACTTACACCCAAGTACACACAAGGCTGAGGTAGCCATGGCCTTCAGAAGGGGGCACAGGCTTGTCACTCTTAACACATCTTTCACCGAAGCAGAGGGAAGTAACTAGAGAGGAAGGACATCTATCCTACAAGTACAAAGACAGTTTCAATTAAAAAAGCATGCTCTTTTTACAGAGCTTTTAGGTCATTGTTGCATTGTATAGTATAGGGAGGATTTTGGCTTTCAAGTCTTAATGCTTATGTAATTTCTCCGTGTAATGATTTGGCAAACATTTGCTTCGATATGATCCAAGAGCACAGAAAAACATTTAAGTACACGGTCAGCTCAGTGGCAAAATGCAATTCTGGACCTGGGATGCTATTTTAGTGGAGTTTGCATGTTCTCCCCCTTCTCATGGGTCTCCTCCAGGTGCTCCAGTTTCCTCCCAGAGTTCAAAAAAAGAATATTAATTTAATGCACCCTGGATGGGCGAAGTTAAGTGTATGATTTTAATAGATGGTACCATGCTAAAGAGGTGATGGTTGTGGGGAAAAAAAAAAAACAGTACACAATTATTCAGTCAAAGAAGGTGTATTAAATTATTTACCTTACAAGCACAATTTTACAATCAAGAATGGGCAATGGTCCATTAGTGCTTTGGAGAAAGTTGTATTTTGCATTACAGTGCATCTGTTCATACAGATACAGAATTGCAAAAAGTGGGTCATTACAACTCGTGATATTCAGACAAATTCCCAGCTGAAAGGAACTTTAATGACAATCTACCATGAGGGCAGTCTGTGGCTGCTCTTGGTAGCTAAAGCATTGTGAAAGGTCCTTTCTCCCATAATCGAACGCACACAGTGTTCAAGCCAGGATACCATCCTAAATTTCTGCTGGGGATGCACCCATTGAAAAATAGGATCCTTCCTGCAAATGAAAGCCCTTAATTGCAGAAGTCTGGTCTATTGCTTTCAGCACAACTCTAAAACCCCAAATCTCTGCTTGCATCCTGGGCTTGAGGACAGCATGAACCGGAAAGAACTACCATGCTCTCCAGAGACTAAACAATTCTAAAACCATCAAAGAGTGATCATTGTGCAGTTAGATGGCTTTTAAAAAAAAAGCCTGGAAAAGCCCTGGGTGCAAGATTAAAACAAAAAACGGTGCACCTCGAGATTAGGATGGCAAATCACACCTAGAGCTGTGAGGAGTAAAAATTCACCTGTAAAGAAAATACTTTTCTGTAACACTGCCAAGTGTCACTACAGCCATACTGTAAAGGGACCCTACATCTAATAAATGGAGCTAAAGTCTGCCTGGATATGCTGTACAACCCGTTTAGCTCGACGTGACGAAGTAACCGGACCTACACAATGGTTTATTGCAATTCTAAGTGGGTAGGGTCAGGTCATCATACCACAAAGTAATGTTTCACTTTTTTTCCCCCACTACGCTACAGAGCAAAAAGCACAAATTTACATAGTCAACGCATTACTTGACATTTTTCTTGAAATCAATCTGGTTTTCTACAGACAACTGCAGACTTACAAGACTGGCAACAGATAATCTGTATATATAATATTATATAAAAATTAAATTAAAAAAAATGAACACGTATGTAAACTTTAATTGAGCAGGAAACCCAGCAGTGGGATTCCATCTCTACCAAGTCATCCATTTTGTTGCATATTTTACTGATGTGGGCGAAGTGGCTGGGGTGGGGTTGGGAGGGAAGAGTGTTACTTTTTCTGCAATGGCAGAGCAATCAAAAACTAAGACCCTATATGCCTGGTCTCAGGTAACACTCTTCATTTCTTCACAAGTCATGTCCATGGTTTCTTTCCACCTTGGAATGTTGACCAAAGCAGACCAGCTCGGGCAACTTGGCTCCTCTGCCTCTGCACTAAGCTGGGGCAGAAATGCGGTCTTCTTGGCCCAACTGGAAGCAAGAAGGAATCGCCAAGAAATTCTTCATTGCGCTTTCCAGGGTAACTCCAGCATCTTGCATCTCGTACCTGTGGTGAAAACATTAAACATTCAAATTGATCTCGGGGGGTGTCTGGAGCGTGTCCAGTGCGCTGAGCATACTCCCACAAGTGCCAACAGCTTTGTTCACTCCAGGCTCGAGCTTGGTGGCCCATTGCGAGCCAGCCCCCCCACAACACAAACTGGCTTTCTAAAAATCACTCATGCAACTGTTTAGGTGCTGAAAGTAAAGGGACTAGAAAGAACCACAGGCTTTTTTGACAAAAGTCAGAAGCCATAAGCCAGAGATCAATCGAAACGTACGTCTAAATGTACTCCAGCTTTAAAGAACAAAAGGACTTCGCAGACTGAAACCTTACCAATCGCATGCAGAGATCAGATAGTAAATGGGGGGCTTTTGGAAGTCGCCGATGGACTGTCCCCCCATTGCGTTAGCCCCCATGTTGTTGAAAATCACCCAGTCTCCAACTTCGAGCTCGGGCAACAGGCAGTGCTCAACAACCTGATCCAGACCATCGCAGGAGGGGCCCCATAGGCTGCTGGCAAACACTGGCTCTTCCTTGCTGGATTTCTGCAAATCATTAAAAAATAAAGTCAAATTATTTCAGCCTTTACACCACCTCGCAAGATTTATCCGCCTGCTAGCTCAGACCTCATGTGCAGGTGTAAACTATAGTGTGAACTGTAAATTGGGACTTGGCATTACAAAAAAGCACCCCCAGGCGATACACTAAGGATGCAACATGTAGGTAAAGAGAAGGACATTCACAGTGGACAATGTGCACCAATCAAGTAACCAGAAAATGCAAACAAAGTTACACACAGGAAATTAAAAAAATATATATTTTAAAGCAATTAAAAATTCAATTTTCCTTGGGGTAAGAGCAAATACTGGGAAAGCCATTGGTGGAAAGGTCCTTGGAGTTGATAGAGCTGTCTTTTCACAATATACATTTCTTTAAAAAAGGTACAGTAGCATTTTCTTTTTACACGTTACTTCTGCCACAGAAAATCTTAAGTGCTCCATCTACCTTATGAACTGAAGGAGCAGCAATCGCCTTTTCCAAGAGTTTGCTTGCAAAAGATCCATACACTCCGTCATTCATATAATACACAAATGCTGGTTCGTCATTCAGGGAAGGTTCGACGTCTGGAAAAGGCAAAGAGAGGGAATATGTGAAACACTCAAATTTTCCCCAAGAAATACAAACCTGTAATTCATCAGGCAGACAAAAATGTAGATTACGGGCTCTAATGTCCTGAAATTATAATGAAATCAAAAAGCATATTGATCTCCGATGTCATGCTACCATGTTTGCAATTTGGGGAAAAAGCAATTACCTAGAGGATGATCATACTGATCCCTTGCAACCACTTTTTTGGCAATAATATTGACAGCCAGAGTGAATGAAGAAGCGACATAGTAACTCCCAGGTTCAGCAATAACAGACACCCCGGACTCTGGTGGGAAATACACATCCAGCAATGGCCTCATACTGCGATATATCTGCACAGAATAAAAAAAACAAACAAACATGTCACTTTGCAAGTACTCCGTTTACACTGGAGAGCTGTTGCTACAGCAGGATGCTCTACTGGAGAAACAGGAGTGAAGTAACCTGCCAGGATACAGCAGGAGTTGAGCACACAGCCCTGTAATCCCAGGTAAAGAGCTCTCAACATCTCCACACAGCTGTCCAAAGACTATTTTAGAGAGGTGAAATATAGCCGAATGTACATTAACATTAGCAGCAATGTGCAACACTGCCGTTTGAATTGTCGAGCTGTGTACATTGGTCTGCCATTTGCCAACAGACTTACCTCTTCCAGCTGTGCCTCTGACCCACAAAAGCCACCACCAATATCCAAAATGTTCATGTTAAAGCCAAACTCCTCCTGAAATAAGAAACCGGTCAAATTAGAAAAGGATTACCACTGTTTACACTGTGTAATACTTCGGGGTACTTGCCCCCTACTGGTGAAAAACTATTCATTGTATAACTGACTGTATGAGCGTTTCTTTAAAATGGTATGCACTTTCAAAATAAAATGTTATAGGAAAAAACGAGTGAGAATTAATTCTCACAGCATGTTACCCTAGGTAAATGAAAAATCCATCCTGAATCTGCAGTGCTCTTTTCATCCCCACTTACCCCCATATCAAAGACGCAGCGAGCATCAGACAGAGCATGGGTGTAGGCCTGCATATCCTTGCAAGAGCTTGAAATGTGAAATCTGAACAGAGAGAAGATGGGAGTCAGAATAGTTACTGGGAAAGAACACCCTCACAGCTGCCATTTCATTACAGGTGTTCTGGCTTACAGAGAATGAACATAGTCCTACAAAGGCAATCTTCACAAAAAAAACCTAGACACTAATCGAGGAAAGTGGCAGGGGCGTAGTTTCTTCCAGTCACAAAGAATCTCAAATCAACTCGTGTTGCAAGCTGCCCTGGGTTACTGCAGAGAAATGTTTGAACGAGGAGAACCTCTGATCACTCATCGACTAGCAACCAAATGGGCCAGACAGGAAGGCTGTGGACTATAAGGAGGACTGAATGGCATCCTACAGCCTGAAACCTAACAAGAGCAAAGGACCCAGTGCTTCAAGATGTGAACGGCGAGGTTAGAAACATCTACTCACTTCACCCCCACCACCTGAACGCCCCTTTCCTTAGCGCTTTCCATGAGGTGCCTACAGTTCTTGAGTGTGGAGCCAAAGGCCATGCTCATCTCCTCCCCTTCGCTGTGGGTCTCCGTGGCGATTTGCAGCAGAAGCCTAAGAGAAGGACAAGGTGATTGTGGCACACTGGGATTACAGCATAGCCTGCAGACTGTCACAAGCAGAAGGGGGGGGTTTAGGTTGGCGATGCTCCTGCTTCATTGTGCTCCAGCCACAGGACCTACACAACACTCAGCCTGTACGGGAGACAAAACTAGCCATTAGAGCCTAGCAGCCACACCTGTGGGCACGGGGGCTGTGGGAAAACAACACTACCACACCACTTCTTTTCAAAAGCTGAATCCATTTGATTTTTAAAAAAATCAGCCGTGCATCAATTGCATTCTTTCTGGAATAACAAGGGTCCACATCCCAGCTACAAAATGCATGTCAAGGAACAAGTACAGGTTTATTCCATGCTAAAAAGAAAATGTTTTGGCTGTGGAGCCTTCTCTTTTCAGGATGGAATAAATCTGTACTTGTTCCTTTGCAGCCTACACATGCCGATGCAGCTCCCTACTTGAATTTATTTCATGTAGACAATGACAAAGCAGAGCTAATTACTAACTCAAGCACTGCTTTCAGCAGAAATCCACTCTTTGAATTAATATAGGACTTTATCTCGGTGCATGATGACAGGCATGCATGTCTGCACAGTTCAGGGTGAAAATGCTTTCATGCAGCGCATGATGTCGGAAAGCCCAAAGATGCTTACCTGGCATTTGGATGACAACGTGCGATCTTCCGAAGTTCCGTCTCGTTGTCACACACTAGGATATCTATACCATTCTTAGCAGCATTTGTGACATGGGACAGCTGTTTACACAAACTAGTGAAGAGAATGTTCTCTGGAGCAACGCCGCAGCTCAGCACAAGTGCGACTTCACTCTGAAAAGGGGAAAAATACACTGAGCATGCAAAACACCTTCGACATGCCAATACCTTTGTTTTCAATCCCAGACTCCATAGTAGGCTTCTAGCAAAAATGCCAGCCTATTGATGCACTTGGATGCAGGTCCATAAATCAATAATACAAAATCAGAAAGTGTCATTTCCTTCAGAATAACAGGTACACTCCAGTATAGGCCTGTCATGGAACAGGTACAGGTTTATTCCATTGCTGAAAGGAAAGAGACACCATTTTTTCTGAAGAAGGCTCCACAGCAGAAACGTCGTCTCTTCTCTTTCAGCAATAGAATAAACCTGTACCTGTTTCTCTGCAGCCTATGCATGCTGACCCAGCTACCTACAGTATGTGAGCTTCACAAGCCTGTCATGGACAAAATGGGTCCCTCAGAGAAACAGTAGAACAGGTATACATTTAGCCACTAGGTGGCAGAGTCTTTCTAGGGGAAAGAGCTCCCATTAAATAATCATCGCATCAAAAATAAATATTATAATCCAAATTTTGGATAAATATAGGACTTTTAAGAGCTAAGGGTCTTTCATCAGATCATGCTATAGAGGGCTACCATCTATTTGTGTCAAAAGAAAGAACGTTTCCACTTCATTCTGCAGCAGAACATCAGTCGATTTTTCTTCACCATTCCGAAGATCCAGGAAAATGAGTGTTAAAAAGGTGAGAATATAACCCACCGCTATTTCACCTAAACCTTAAATAAACATCTTTAATAGAATGCATTTTAACTCAACCCCAAAAGTGATAGCTGCATTCCACTAAGTTAAAGAATTGTATGAAAAAGCTGCAGTCATAATTGGTTGTCATGGTCACAGAAAGTCACTGCAAGCTGTAAATTAGTAAAATAACTAAATGCTATGTGGTTTTCAGAGGACTTTTACATAGACTGTACATGATGGGCTTCAGATCTTATGATGCATTCTTTGAAGGTTTTAAACCGAGCATGCACTAAATCAAAATTAGAGGAGCCCGTAAACCCAACTGGACTGCTGACACTTAATCGTTATTGGATTTAAGTTTTTAAATGCAGCGTGTCAATTTGATGCCTACACGTCGCTGGATTCGGAGCTCAAGTCAAAAACGGCAGACTGCAGACTCCCCGCCACTAAAACACCGAGCACAGAAGAGGTGCTAAAACGAACCTGACTGGTGTTAAATTACATGGGAAGACCACATCAAGGTACCACAAGACACCTTTGACCTATATCAGATCCTGTGCCTCAAGGCCGACGAGCGAACCATTTAAGAAACGCATTAGCCTTCCTCACGAACGCGCTGCTGGTGGAGAGCCGAAACCGGCCGCGCAGTGGCGGCTAGCCCGCGAAATCGATCACCTTGTTGGTGCAGGCGAAGCCGGCCCCGAGCGCTGCCAGGATCTCAATGACAGCCTGGCTGTTGTTAAACTTCACAGCGTAGAAGGGCTTGATCTGCGTCATGACGTTCTGCCACAGGGTATATTTCTTCACTATGTCCCCAAGGTCGGCCACAAAAAAGGCATTCTTTTCAGCCTGAGGACAAAGGACAAGCAGATCAGTCTACCTGCAAAGGATTTAAAACAGACAACACCTTTGATGTTAACGTTAAATCCTTTCGTACAATGAGCTGGCCTGCCAAGTATACAGTGTGTTTAAATATATATAAAATGTGCATTGTTTTTTTTATTTTTATAAAAGTACAAAAAAACACACACAAAAAGCATTAAATTAGAGCAGTTGTCCCAGCCCTGATTCTGCTTGAACACCTTCTGCTGGCTTTTGCTCCAGTTGAGCTCTTCATCACAGGTGCAGTGATTTCAGTTTTCCATTTGAAGGATATCGATCACGTTTAAGAGCTGAAAGCAAAAGGTCAAACGGGATTCTGAATTGCCATCGATGCAGTTGTGCTTCTGGCCACGCCCTGGACCGAGGCCGGCTCCGAAAGCCAGGAACGACAGCGAGCACCTTGGGGAGCAGCTGCTCAAAAGGGTCTGTGCGCTGGAGCTGCTGGGAGTGGTAACCTTGAACTCGGGTATTTCCCACACCCAGGACTGACTGAAGTTACGAGTTAAATAAAAAGACCAGACGAACATTTGTCTTGAACTACAACCACGCATTTATACAGACTACCCGCATTTTCAGTTAAAGCCAAGATGTCAGGCCATGATCCGCAAGCGGGTTTCGTGCCTGTAATTGGAAGATCTTGAAGTGAAAGCTAGACTAGGATGAGATCTGCTATGCCTCCTTCTCAGGTACAGATCAGGGTGACAAACCTGTTCAGCTCAAGTAGAAGGAATGGGGCTTCGTGCCGAGGTTACAGTGCCTTTCAAAATTAAATCACCTCCAGGCGTTTCAGCATGGTTACCATCTGAGCTTGTGGCGACCACACTACCAAATGGGAGTTTAGATTTTGAATTTCACAATTGATTCTAAAGGGATTAAGCTATGGTGACAATGGGCAGTATGTTGGAATATTTTCGATCTGAATGGGAAGCATGGCATTTGGCACAAGTCAACCAGTCTATCCCCAGTGCCAAGCATGTAAGTGGCATCAGGATGCTCCACCAGCAAGGAATGAAGGATAAGGAGCATCTGAATAAATTCACAATTTCATGGTCCATTTTTCAACCGGAAAATGACCATGACTGCAATGCCCAAGACACGCAGGAGCTACAAGATAAGAACACAAATGTCCTGGAGCATCTCAGTCCAATTCCAGATGTGAGGATTGTATCACACCAATGATTCCCAACAAACTTGTTAATACTGGAGCAATTCTGCCATGAAAAGGCACAAACTACACAGCCCAACTATGCAAAGCCGGTAAAGTGTCTACCAACACTGACCACAGTACCTGCTGCCAAGAGCACATATTCATATAAGCAATTAGCACATATCAGACTGAACATTTGTTTTGCAGTAGCAAAATTCAACATTACTAGAGGGTGAAAGACTCCGTAGAAAACTGTACTACTAAGAAGCATTTCTTTTAAGAAGAGTTCAAGGCATAAAGGGGTTGCAGGCAGATCAAGTGATCATGTCTGAGCAGAGCAGTCACTGAAATTCAATTTGAGCTAACTGCTCCATACGGCACTAAGTGAAGTGATTTTGCATCTCTAATTAAAATGTGTGTGGTGGGTCCTTTCAAATTCCTCAACCAAATCGCACATCCATAACTACTAAATCTGCTGTGAAATACTTTTTAAATAGTTTTCTTGTCTGAGGAGAAAGATCAGGCAACAAGAACACACAGGATTAAAGAACTTGATCGCCACTTAAAAAACAAAACAGCTTACACATTTTTAGAACTTGGATCCCCCCTTTTGAAAAACATTTTCCACGCGATCCTTACCAGAGCCTGCTCACAAATATGGTTATCGATGACATCTCCAAGCGTCGTGCCGTCCTCCAAAAGGTCAATAGTGTAGTTTGGTTCATCGACAAAACCTTTCATCTCAGCCGTATTCCGCAAAGCCGACAATCATAAACCAAGTTGACTAGCAAATCGGGTCACTGAGCCTTGAGTTGGGATCCTTAAAAAATATGCAACAAACTGCAAAAACAAGAAACAGAATGACTGGCGCTGCTGAATAGATTAAACATCACAAATGAAACAGGCTGTACTGACAAACACAAGGGTGTGATTACACTCTTGCTCTAACCAGAATTCTGCAATAAGCTTATGATGTCACATGGGCAGGATGTGCCGCCTGCCTGCCTTTGGGGCAATCTGAATTACCACTTGTATGGGGGGGGACATTTTGAAGGCAAATATTTAATAAAAATAAACAGACTGAAAAGGAGAATGACAATGTACAGCAGTCACTTCTAACGAAAAACTGATTGAGAGATTTAAGGATGTTCTACAGAAATTAATTCAACACCGAACAAACCTGCAAGCTGTCGATGTCGGAGATGTTACAGACTTAATCCGGAGCTCTAAAAATCAGTATTGGACTGACGAACATGATCTACTCCCCAATATTCTGCAGAGCAATTCTGGGACGCCAAACAATTGAAGGTTATTGGACAAAAAATTCAAAAGGCACTTATTAAAACCGAGCCACCGAGAGTTGTACAATGGTAGGTAAACTTAAGTCTTGCACTCTTTCCAACATCTTTCAGCTTTGCCGTTCTGCTACAGCTCTTCATAACGGCCAACGGCTACATTTGTTTTTGCGTCTTCATTTTTATTCTCTTTTCTTTCCATTCGCAACAAAAACGAGTTACGACGGTTTTAGAAATCTTTGTGCACATAACAGCGTTCGCCTTCGGAAGGCATACACCCTAGTTACCCAAAGGGAAGAAAACGGAATGTTTTCCGACTCACGGACACACAAGGCTGCTTGTATGCCTTTGTTCACAACTTTCCTAGAGGGCAGAGCCCCCTTCGAAGTGGAACAAATGAAAATCCCCAGGCAAAAAACACATTGGCAGCCACTTCGACTTAGCAGGCGCTGTTAAAACAATGGATGTAAAACCCATTGTCGCCCATCTTCTTCAATACCAATTACTAGCAACCACTACTATTAATCCCCAGTGGCAATAGCCCATAAAGGGTCCGTCTTTTAGAGACCTTAGCTAATTGGAGAATTAGCCAAATATAAAAGATCTGCACACGTGATAAAGTTACATAACACCATGTCAGGGAACGCCACAGCTGGCTGTGCCAAAAAGCATAACAGTGCTCGATCTTAGTAACAACAGGCCTTGTTCAGGTCACTGGTCACGGCTCTTGTGCTGTCCTGCGCTCGAGTGGGGTCTTTCGAGTGGCTTTTGACCACTCGGAGAGCCATTTGTGCACTCAGGTCTGCTGGACCAGTTCCCCAGCTCTTTGCAGCTGCTTTTAGTCCTGGTCACCTGACTGGAGATTTATGCTTCCAGACCATACTTCTCACCCCTTCCACACAGCAGCTCGGTTAACAGCTCAGAGTCTGCCACAGGAACGTGCAATACCCCAGCAAGAACAAAAAAAAAACTGCGGAGGCATTTCTCACTGACGTGGACCATTTAACAGTCCTCTCATCAGGCCCACGTAACAAATTTTCACTCTACCAAATGACTATCTAGGTGAGCGAGCAGAAAATACTGTGTGCAATAAAAGTGCACGGAATATCTAAGCCACAAATATCCTATAGAAAGCTTGTATACACATACTTGTCAAAAGAGTCAAAGTGAACGGTGTAAAATACTAAAGCACACAGAATCGTGTCCTTCAGTGTCACTTCTACTGTATGCTCCACAGGGAATTCCTGCCGGTTTCCCCAATATAAAGAAGTCTCTACTCACATGGACAAGTCAGGAGATGGACCTCTCCCACTATCAGCTGGGATCCCAAGGTGGCTCAGCGTTGAAGTCAAACTGCTCTCTGTAGAGGGCTGCTCCTAGGCCTTCTGGGTAACTGTTGTACACCTGCACAGAGAGTGCGCCCTGAGAAAGACAACAGTAACGGTCAGACCACAACTGGACACAAGTCCCACACGGGGAGGGGACAGAGCAACTGGACACGGGTCCCGCACGGGGAGGGGACAGAGCAACTTGGAAAGAGTAAAACTTTTGCATTAAAGCTTGCACAAACCCCCATGTCAAAAATAAAGATCCTGTTGGCCTTGGAGCCCACATATTGCTTTTCAAAGACTATATTGGGTTAAGAGCAAGGAGCACTGTCCATTATTAAAGAGAGGACCTTGTAAAACATCTCTGAAGGGCAGCTCCAATACGATTTCGTTGAAAGCCTTTCAAACAACCACAGGAACTGCAATTGCAGTTTAAGTCTAAATTACTTGCGGACACTTGGGTCATTTTTTAGATTCCATCCAAAGCCACGAGATATACCGTGAAAGCTTTTCTCGCTCTTCGCCAATAATGAATTATTATTGTTGTATAGAGGTTAAACAGATGTTTATATAACATCGAGGCTCCATACAATCAACGCATTCAAAATTACACACTATGAGGTTTTTGATCACCAGATAAGCTCCATAACTCCAAACGTTCCACCACTTCTCGTGTGCAGGTCCAGATGCTTCTTGGGGAAGGACACAAACAACTATTGCCGGTCATGGCAGATTTCTTTAAATAAGTGGATTTTATTTACCGATCATACACATTTTAAAAGTCCATGGTGGACTGTTTGAAGGTACACTTTTCCGAGGCTCAAATGGCTAGTTAAGACGCGTTCAAATACTACTTGTTCTCTTCCAGTTCTAAATAATCTTTGAGGTCTGCCATTCACACCCCTCTGCCCGTGTTTAAGAAATATGGAAATAAAAGCATTCCTACCGTAGCAACAGACGAACTGTTCAGCCATTGTCTAATGAACAGCTGTATACACAGTATGTCAGAACTCAGATTCTCTCATTTCTAGACTGAAATTCCTTTCATGTCTATTTTCTGGACAAGAGGAGTGCAATGGGAAAACCTTTGTGAAGCACTGGTGCCAGAGGTAAAAGCTGTTCAAAGACTAGGAAAGAGCCTTTATGTACAAAATGTGTAATACAGCATGTAAACACTCAAAACAACAATACTGACGCACAGGATTGGAACACTGAAGGCTGATGGCTTCAATCAAATATTTTAAACAGACCTAAAAAACAAGAGAAAAAGAATCATGCTCATTTCTAGTTTGAAACACGACTGTCGAAACGCCGTCATAAAGACTGCACTGGCTATGGTGGCCCTGAGCAGGAACGAGTCTGGCAGCGCCGACACATAGACCTGATCAGCCCCTGGACAGATCGCTGCGGGATCACCTGCCCCTCCCCCCGTGCAGCTGCGGCCAGCTGCCGAAGGCTGGCCCGCCCGTGGCGCCCTCCTGTGGACTGCACTGGCAAGGTAGCTCTGGGGACGTGGACGCGGGTCAGAAGGACAGGGCAGCCCCCAGCCAGACCGCCGTTTCCGTGAAGTTGTACCATTGTAAGCGCCGCACCGCGTCACGCCGCTGGAAAACGGATGCTTCCAGACCGGCTCTGCCAGGAAACCAGGAAAAAAAAAAAGTCGTCGGCTCGAGCGATTCGCCAATGCAGCACCGGGCAATAAGACTGGCCTCTAATCTGCTCCAAAGGTGCTCTTGTGTTACAGGGAGAGTCCACCCCTCATCACACTTCTACTGCAAGCAGAAAGCTTGTCAGGACGTCTCATCTCATCTTCCATTATATCTGTCGAGGGGGAAATCGCAGTCACCAATGAATAAAACACATCGCCCTCAGCCTCCATCCCTGATGTTGCCTGGCCCAGAAAAGACTACAGCCGTCTCTCCGCTGCCAACATCGCCTCTCCCAAGCACGCAGATCATTTTCACGCAGACCGAGAGCTACTGTCGTACGAGAACAAGTTCGCAGGTGTACCTGCTGGCACAGCGTGGTGACTCAGTCCCTCCCAGAACAACGCCTGTGCCTCACGGCACAGGGTTCATCTGCCAACTGTGAGCAGAACACCTTATTCTGAGCAACGCCCCTCACAAACTGGCCATAGTCCCCAGGTTAACTTCATTGCTCAAGTGGGGCGTGTCAGAACAATTCCTCTTCTTGTGTAAATTTAAATGATAGGATAGTTTGAATAGCTATTTGTACAGATTCATAAATCGGTCTTTCCAATGCAACTGAAATACCAAACAATTTAACTTCTGGCGCTTCATGAAATCAGACGATTTAAGTGCATTAGCAAACTTACTTCAATAAGCAAATACTACTAAACCTACAGAGTCATGCGACTTGAATACAAGTCCTTCAGAGAGCGACAGCCGCTGTAACTGAAATCTGCATCTGAAATAAAAATAACAGCATGACCATTACAGCACAGCTTTCCACACTACCTTCACGGTTAGCAGCTGCCTCGGACGACAAACTTCGGGCACAAGACGGTACAAACAAAGTGAAAATATACGGCTAGAAAAATATGACACAGAAAGGTACTCAACACAAACCTCCACTTTTCCAGAAGGATGAATGAGACTGGATTTCTAAGCGACCCATATTTCAATTCTTTGTCAACCGCAAAACCACTGCTGAATGAAGGCCTCATTTCAAGATGTATCCCATGCTTTGGGGTAAGATTCCGCACAGTTTGGCTGAGTGAATTACATATATACTTTCTCGCATCATTTGTGTTAAGCCTTTTTAGACAACAGAGGAGAAAATTGGTTTACAGAAAAACATAACTGCCATGATTCCTTATTAATTAGTGAGAAACAGAGATCCGATACCATAATGTTATTCAGGATATAACACATTTGATTTAGATCATTACTCAGTCAAAAATGACAGGATTAACACAGATTTGTTCACGTACAGGGACCTAAAGTTTAGGGGTTTTATACAGTTGGCCAAGGAAAGGGCCCTCAATGGTCATTTTACTTTCTATGCATATTGCGTATCCATATTTGAAGCTAACCTGGCACTTTGACTTGGCAGGTTACCTTACTGAATTTCTTAAGACTGTTCTGTGCAACATTCTTGATCTTAAATCACCAGGTAGAAAAGCTCAAGAGCAGTTGTTTTGCTCTTTGCCTTTGGCATGAGCCCATCAGATCTTCGCTTCTCCCCGGTAAGGATCAGGACAATTCACAGTCTACCCCTGAAGCACAGGGCGGAAAGCAGTACTACACTCTGAGCAGGACACCGGTCCGTTGCCCACAAGGGGGACAATTTTGTGAGAACTAAACTAGCCAGCATGTCTTTGGAAAACTGGAAGAAAACGGACAACCCAACAAACAGATCCCCCAGCAGACTGAAGGAACACGCAAACTAACCCAAAGGAGGTGCCTCAGTCTATAACTTAGCCCAGGACGCAAGACAGCGACACGTCACGGTGCTGCCCCCTAGAGGCCAGCCCTACATTTATCACCCTCCCTCTTCTACGATGAGCCCAGACCCAACACCAACAATTCAGACAAAGCGCAAACCTCACATCCATTTGCGACCATTTCCTCAGGCGGAGTGCGTGTTATTTTGTCCGCAGCTGTATTTTTAAAGGGCGATATGAATTATTTCCCCCCTGAGGGACACCTTACCTGCTTGAAGTAGTTTTTAACCTTTGTTCGTGCTCACGCAGAAGCACGCTTGCGTTAGACCACTGCAAGTTAAACCACTTTTAAAACTTCAAATCCCTCCGTATGAAAATCCCAGGATTTTTCAAGACGTAATGGCAAGTCAAAGATTAAATACAGACACGAGCATTTTTGGAGTCGATTAAAATGTAGTTAATCCCGATGGCGAACGTTATGCGTTTTAACCACCAATTCTATAAACTGACGCTCACAAATTAATTGCACAGAAAGGCGAAATTGCTATTAACTTTTGGGGAAATCCAAAATAATAAATGATAAGTTACGCTGGCCAACAACATTAAGAAATACAGGCTATTGCACTGACAGGCTTGGGCAAATTTAATGTCCCTTTATTATAACAACCAAATAAACGAAGCATGAATTTTATTAACCTCATTTAGGATTACTGTTCATAGATCCCCGTGGCAAACAGAGCTCCTTTGTAGTGGTGGAACGCGATTTTAATAAAGCCTTCATTTGATCCTGCTAGGTAAAACCCTTAATACTTAGCGCAATTAAACCTCGCTTAACACCTCTTTAACCATTTCGCTCCCTAGCCAAAAAAAAAAGAATCAAAACGTTTGGATGCAAAAGAGCTCATTAAGCCGCCTGCAGACCATAGTGCTGCTCATGTCCTCTCCCTTGCTAAGGGAAACGAATGCAATCCGCAGTATTGCACAGTGCACGCAGTGCTGTTTTTTTTCCCCCTTCTGCCGGAACACGATCAAGCTAGTCCAAACCAGAATTCATTTAAAAGTCCCGCTCAATTTGCAGCCAGCGCTAAAACGCAGTTCGAGAGAAGTCTTTTGCTTCGCCGCGCTTGTTACAGTTGTATACATTCATCCCACTTCGCCTCAAAAGTGACAAGCAGGGCGACAAACGCAAGACCTGCAGACCCGGGGATAAAGTGTTGCAGAAAGATACTCAACCGCTTCTAAAAGATCCCCTCTTGCTCCCCCCCGCCCCCGATTCTAATTATAATCCGTTTCCTTTGATGGAAACTTCCCCGACACAAAGTGAGGGGGTGAGGGACAAAACAACTTTCTAGCACAGAGATTTGAAGCAGTCTGCACTTTCCCCGTCGTTACTCAAATCGGTCACACGGTTAAGCCACGCCAGCTGCAAACCGCAGCGGCAACCGTGGCTGCCAGGGCGCTATCTGCATCTCCAACACACACACCCCTTCCGTGAACATTTGCCTTTAACCGATAACCTGGCGTTAAACTGCCCCCCCCGCCGCCAAACTATGGGACCACGGTTAGTTACACACGAAAACTTTTTAACGGGAACCGGAAGTCGCAGGTGACCGAAAGGGTTTTTGAACCCGGGTCGGGTTAAACCCCCGCCAGCAGCGCCCCGGTTATAACCGACGCGCTCGGCGGAGGCGGGTCTCCCTGCCGACCGGCCTGCGCCGCCGACCGGAAACCTCCGCAAGGGAAGGACACCGGGTGACCGAAACCACGCAGAATGAAGAGTCACACGCCTCTGCTGAACGAGGCGGCAAAAATCGCACAAGCGACGTATTATGGCGAAGAATAAAACTCCTCACGGTCACAGGTTCACCGTGCTCCTGGCAGGGACACATGCTTGTGCGAGACCGTAGCTTCAGGCTCCGCGCTCCCAAAATGAAGCCGCGCTCCTTTAAACAAACGCAGTTCCGGTCCGTAACTTTGTTGATTAATCTTCCATTTTCCCCTTGAAATACACCCAATCGAGACTCTTGGGGTTTTTCTAAGGGGTCTAATTTTATGAAACTTGGCTGCGCCGAAAGTGCAGCCGGCTGCGTCTCGGCAGCCAAGATCCCGGATTGACATTTACATCATGACCGAAGGAGGCGACAGCGGAAGAACTGCCACGAACCAGAAAACCGTATTTATAATTTTCAAAAACCTCCCTATTTTTTGAGGAGGCGTGCTGGTTTAGCACGATATTTTAAATCGTGGCAATAAAGTAACCAAGGCCCTTAAAAACGTATAACCATGTATCTCAAGCTGCTGTTAAATGACAGAAGGACCCGGATTCCCTGCGCTCAGTAACCTTAAGCCTAGAAACACAACATGACCGATGCACTTGCGGCGTTAATTTGTTGCTCTTTCGCATTCCTTTAACCTTCCCAATATCCCGGTTCCCTTGTTTCATTTTTCAAGGACCACCAGAAAAACTAACCGCGGTATTAGTCTATCCAATCGGATATATTCCAACCAGCAACAGCTAAAGCATCTGCTCCGTCCACCTACACTGTTAGGTACGATCGCCATGTTGTAACATGTTTCTCCTGCCGCTGTCTCTGTAGCCTTTTTTTTTACACAAACAAACGCGGAAACGGGCATTACTTACGTGAGATAACGGCCCAAAGGTTTTGGTAAATCGTCTTCTCTTTTTCGGCGGAATTTTTAAAGAGTAAAAGGGGCACCAGTTGTAGAAAGAAAACTGGCTTTATTTGCCATAAGCTTGGAGTGACGAACACGCTGTAAATGGAGTGGTGCGAATGTCTCTCTATCATACAACGAAATGGAAAATGACCAGCCGGGGCAGTATTTATACAGCAGCAACACTGCCTAGCTTTGACGACGAGGTGGGAGACAGAGAGGGCGTGATTTTTATGACGTGCCGTATACTATAGTAACTCTAAACGAGGTACTTTTTATGTAGTTTTGTGTGTAGCGGTTACATACTGCGTCCCCAGCCTGCAGCAGTTGAGTTTTGAGACACTGCAGTTCACTACAGATTTTTTTTTTTAAAGAATGAAATTTTATCCATCCATCCGTTTGTTAACTGCTTTTTCCAATTCAGGGTCGCAGGGGAACTGGACCCTATTCTGGCAAGCAACAGGTGCAAGGATGGGACTCCAGTCCATTGCAAGGCGCACATGCACACCAGGGCCAGTTTTCCCAGTCGACCTGCCAGTATGTCTTGATGGGGAGAACATACAGACTCCACACAGATAGCACCCTAGGAATTGAACCCAGGGCCCCAGCACTGCAAGGCTAATCACTGCTCTGCAGTGTCGCCCCATGTCTTCTTACCCCCTGAACACCTTCACCTGGTTTTATGGAGAACAAGAGTTTTGTTCTGGCATCTTATTTAGTTTACGAAAAGAGCTCGTACACCAGTATGGAACCAGTAACTGGAGCTTGTAATGTCTTTTATATGTGTGACTGGGGAAAAGAGCAGATATTCATGTACAGTATCTTCCAGGACAGACGTGTTTTATTCGAATAGGTTTTCATGGTGGTGTTAAATGTGTTGCGTGTCATGACAAAAAAACATTAGAGTAGAATTCAAAGTGTGTTGGATTTTTCACTCATTTTTCCTGCATTTTTGTTTAGGAACGCTTTTTAAGAAATTTCAGGCACTTATTAACGGCAATGAGCCATTTCATCAAGAATCCTCGACAGAATGCATTCCTTTCATGGTTATGTACCACCGTTCAACCAACAACTCCCCTCCTGTGACCCTCTCTTTTAGCTCCTCGTTTTTATCAGTGCATCTCTGACAAGTCATCTGAGGGGCTGGACCTGGGTCCTTTTTTCATTTCCTTTTATTTTCCTTCTTCGGTCGAATAATTCCATCCTCTTCTTCTTGCCAACTTGCAAACATATTTTAGTCCAGTGATTATCCTCTGCACTTTTTTCCTGGCCGCTTGTCGTGGCAGGAGAATCTCATCTGTGGCTTGGTGACCCAAACTGCACGCAGTGTATTACATGGGATTCACTGCAGCATAGTGCAGCTTAAACATGACCTCATTTCATTTGAATTCCACACATTTTTCTGCGTATCCATGCATTATGTTGGCTTTATTAATTGCTTCCCTACATTGTTTTATCTTGGTTGACAGAAACCCTGGGCAGTTTGATCTGGGAAGTAGAGACTTAGGGCCTTGCAGTTCAAGTGCTGAGCTGAATGTGGACAAATGGTCATAACTGGAAAAGGGAACATTAGGCATGTTTGCATGTATAATTATCACAATGTTTGAGTGTCCCCTAGGAGTGACCATCCTGTCCAAAGGAGTGTTAATGGCCCAGCAAGTGGTGTTGTCCATGATTCCTAAAAACTATAATATAGAGTAGGACACCAAGCATTTTCTTCTGTGTGCTGTGTTATGGAGAAAAGAAACCTCATTGGAGGTGTGATTGTGGGTGTACGTGCCTCTTGTGCATTGCCGAAAGCATCTTCACTTCAGCATTTCGCAGTAGAGGTCTCAAACTCTGATCCTGGAGGACCTACTTCAGAAGTCTCCAGTCCTTTCCCTGGTGGGTTGTGCTCCGATTCAGCAATTGATGATGTCAGTCTGCTTGTTATGACTCGGATGAACCAGTGTAGACGTTTCTCCCAGCTGCCCCCATCTTGTGCAGGCTGGCTTGTGTTAATTGCTGTTGGCGAAATAGTGCCACATTGTCATGGACATCGGAGAACATCTACCGTAAGGATGTCCAACCTTGTTCCTGGACAGCTCCAATCCAGTTGGTTTTACACACTTGTTGCCTGATCTTCGCAGATCTCGGAAGCTAAGGAAGGCTGATCCTAGTCAGCAGATGGATCAGAAGTTGGGACTCTTCTGGAATAGGCTTTCCAAGACTGGAATTTCTCCAATAACCTGACTGGGAACACTATGCTGTAGGAGGTGTCATCTTTCATAGGTGACGTAGGGACATGGGAAAGGTTACAACCGAGAGGAAGCCATTTGGTCCATACAGCCCATTTGGTAGTTATCGTTAATCGATTCGGACTGCCGGATCATGTGAGATCTGATGGCTTTTTTCAAAAGAGTAGGGATGGTAATCCCAGTGTCCTGTCACAGTCTGGACTTGGGAAATCTGGCCTTTTTCTTTTAGTTTAATTGAAGCCATTTCTCACTCCTCCACCAGATCTGCAGTGAGTTGGGGACTGTTGGTGCATAATGGAGTTTGAACTTCAGTAGTGGGTGATATGGTTCTCTTCCTATATATAAAGGCTTTGGGATCCTGTGAGATGAAAAGCACTATATAAATGCAATTCAATAGTTATTATTAGTACTTTTAGGTAACTCTAAAACACCCATTTTTAAAGACTGGGAACATCTGCAAGTTATTGATTAATGAATACGTTCAGGTAATGGGGATTTGCCCCTTGAGGGTTAAATGGTCTTCAGAGTTTTGTTCCAAACAACCCTGCAGTTACTTCATTTACCACATTATCTGCTGAACTGATCACGGTGCAATTGTTCCAAGTCTTTAGAATTCAATGTTTTAACAGAGACCGCAAAAACGGGCTTGATTTGAGAGCTTTCAGGATGGGGGTTGGAGATCTCGGCTGTATTGGAAGTTATATTAGTAATCAACAACAGGCTAAAACCTCTTCCAATCAGCCAGGAAGAACTAGAAGCTGTCCATGAGATTTCAAAGGTGAATAGGCATGAAGATGCTGACTAGAACGGACAGCAGCAGTGAGGAAGAAATGTCAGGAGCTGATTTAGAGCTGAAGTCTGCACTGAAACCTTATGCTAATAGTTTTCAATACCCTCAGCACCATCGCTTCAGACTCTCAAGGGCTCATTATAAATTCATGATATGGAGTGCTGGCTGTTAACTCTGAAATAAAGATGATTAATATGATACAGACCTACTGGTAATAAGCATAGAGTGAAGAATACTCTCTTATAGATCCCTAAATTAATTTAAACTTGCTCATTGCTTGTGAAGTTATTTGCATCTTTTTAATTAAAGATTCAATTAATTTAAGCAATTTTCCTTCAGCAACTATAGCATGTCTGTGATTCGAAAACGAAATGAACAAATAAATAATAAAATTATTTTCCTTGAATTATATCAAATAATGTAGGGGCCCTACCGATTAAGCATGGGTACTTAACATTATATTAATATGCTTAGAGCAACCCTTTAAAATCCCATGCTGTTAGGCAATTTCACATGATAAAAATGTTAGTAATGGTATATAAATATTTCCTTACAAAACACTTTTGTATTAGTTTACTATTTATATTTTAACCTTTGGAAAACAATTATTGATATCATGTATAGTGCTCAATTTACACAAATGTGCTATCTTGAGTGATGACAAGTAAAACAAGAAGCGGACATTTTAAATAGCATAATCATGTAAAAATGGTTCAGGCAACAGTGAAATTGTTTTCGGAGGTTTAAATTTGGCAGAACATTAATTTTGCATTCACGTCAAAAGTATGATGACAGTTTGAAAGAATTTTCTAGCAACTTCGTAAGCAAAGACTGCTGTGTTCTGTCCATGAGAAATGAATGTCACAGTTTGGATACTAGAAGTACAACAGCAACAGTATTCTCAGTGGTGTCCTAGATTCTCCCTCCTCTGCTTTCCAGATATTTAAATCTGGGGAATATTTTTTTTGTTTATATAATGACAATTCTCAGTAATTCTCTCAAAGTTGAGGCCATCAACAAATTCAAATAGTCAGATGGAATTAGTTTCATGGACACCAAGACAATCAAAGGGGATTCGTTTACTTTCTGTAATACATTATTAGTATTCAATATTAAACTAGAAGGAGTGTCATGTACTAATTTCAGCACAGTAGGCTCCTGTGGATATCTGCTCCACGGTATTTATCTTCTTCTAAAGGAAAAACTAACCCTCATTTGAGCTGAAAAAGGCATCCTGTGGTATGAGGTTTAATTAGGAACAAGCAGAGGTTAATTAGCTGATGAAAAGTAGACAAAAGTTAGTTTTACCCTTTTACTTCCTTTCGACTTGGCACAGTAAACGTACCATAACAACAAAAAAAAACCTTTTGTCAGGATGGCCTCATCTGTTCCCTAAGGAGTAAAGCTTGTCCTGTACTGTTATGGAATAACCCCCATGCATAACTCCAGGAATGATGAACTCATACACCATTCCTCTTAGTCTCCATATTAACATTGATCCCCTCAGAAATAGCATTATGAATAATTACCTTTGAAAATATTTTTGATTGACTAGAATGATTATTTAAATCGTTAAAAAGGAGCACGCGACAAAAAATGCCAAGAACTCTGGGGGGAGTCTGAATTCACCAGAGAGAGTAGCGGACCAAATTGGAGCAGAGAGATATTCGGCCTGTTTTTAAGTCATTTTATACTTTCGAACAGGATTCATACAATATATATTTGGATTGACTTGTTTATCGAGGAATATTGAACTTTGCCTCTTGTGTATCTGTTTCAGTGGACACGGATTGAAAGAGAAATTCCAAGCCACGCCAATTTACAGAACAGTGCCAGAAGCACATTGACAGAAAGGGACTCTTAGATTAGTGAACTTTTGCGTTTTTCTTTACTCATGCTAAAGTATTGTACTTATAATTATAGTTTTGTTTTGTTATTGTAAATACATTTGTAAATATGTAATATAAAAAAACCGCGGACTGTTTTTTTTTTTCATTTTTCTGTATCGTAACAATAGGATGTAATAAAAATGATCGGCTGTGTCTAAGCCATTTCTCCAGCTGACCTGCAGGTCACATGGTTCTGTTCCTTATGAACTGATCAACCTGTATGGCCCTGGTTCTT